AATGACTAGATGACTAGATCATCTAGTCCAACCGCCCTGTAGTGAGCAGGGACACCTCCAACTAGATCAGGTTGCTTAGAGCCCCATCCCGCCTGACCCTGAATGTTTCCAGGGATCGGGCATCTCCCATCTCTTGGGGCAACCTATGCCAGAGCTTCACCACCCTCATCATAAAACATCTCTTCCTTGTATCTAGTCTGACATGGGACCCTCTGCTCTGACACCGACTTCCTCCATGACCTTTGGCAAGTCACTTGTCTTCCCTGGGATAATCCAGCATCTGTGACTGCCTGCCAGGGGCTGGCAGGGGAAGGGCTCCTGTTTGCAGCCGTTTTGAGGGATAACCAGCACCTAGCTCTAACCCCAAGGCTGTATGCAGACCCTACTGCTCTGCACTGTACCTGCCAAGGACACTGGCTGACCCCAGTGCCACTGCCCTGCGGTGTGGAGACTCCTAGGCTGCTTCAAGAAATGCCCCCAGAAGAGGATGGACAAGGCACTCTGACCAGAAATTACTCTCACAGTAATTAAGCAGTTTTCCATCTTCTCAGGTCATTTATTCACAGCATGCCCCACGTAAGCAACGCCGTGTGCTGCCGGCTCCCCTAGGAGGGCAGAAAGCAGCTGTGGAGCGAGCTAGGATGCTGGGGATGCATGGAAGGGCTTGTGTCAAGGGAACGGGCATGAAAAATGCCCATAATGGGTTTCCAAGCCCGTTTCTGCTTTGGACTTCAGCAGCTGCTGCCTCAGCCCCTGAAGAGCCCTTTGCCTTCACCGTTACTGAGGTCTTACACTCCAAATGAGAGCCCTGCACGCTAATAAAGCTCCTCACCAGACTTTCCACGAGAGACGAACTGACAACACTGAAACCCTTCTCTGCTTTAATTGAGAAGTTTCCACCCAGCGCTGGCCCACTGGTAACCCACACCGTGATCTCCTGGATGATCACACACAGGAGAGCCAGAAGGGAGGAGGGAAGGTCTGCAGCCAGGCTCGCTGAAACACAGCATGTTCAGGTGTATTTTGGTACCTGGGGGCCACAGAGAGATGCCTTAATGATGTGTTTGATGCTTAATTCCTCATGTTGCTCTGGGCTGAAGTGTAACGACTGCAGCTCTGATCTCCACAGAGGTTTAATCAGAGTAGAGCCTCCAACAGCTCGTGTTCGCTTTCCTCGACTTGATTTATGTCTCATTTGAGGGTGGATCCAAGAACAGGGAGGAAAATGAAAGAGGCAATGAGGCAGAAGGGCTAGGAATGAAAGCTCCGGGGCCAAGCTGGGGAAAAAATTTGCTTCCTGAATGCTTAACCAGGATTTGGGTCTAACGATGCTATGTCACATCACATCCATCCACACCGTGATGATGTGCCACCATTTGGACTCGGGAAGGTGACACATCCCAAGCCATGAGCATCCCACCACAGTTTATAATAATTAACATGACCACTTCTTTGTTACCTGAAAGGATTCCTATGATCTACATAATGCTCTCCTCTTGTCTCTTTTTATATCCGCAGAGTGTGAGAGCCTTTTGACAAAAAGCAACCTTTCTCAGAGGGTTGGAAGGTACCCAACACATCGAGCGACTGTCGCAGCTGAACCACAGCCATGGAAGAGCAAGGCAGGGAAATTACCAGACGCTTCTGTGGCCAAAATTACATGGACTGTGGGCAGTGCATGGGAATCAAGGCTGTCTTGTCTCTTTTTATATCCGCAGAGTGTGAGAGCCTTTTGACAAAAAGCAACCTTTCTCAGAGGGTTGGAAGGTACCCAACACATCGAGCGACTGTCGCAGCTGAACCACAGCCATGGAAGAGCAAGGCAGGGAAATTACCAGACGCTTCTGTGGCCAAAATTACATGGACTGTGGGCAGTGCATGGGAATCAAGGCTGAAAAAGCTGCACTCATCCCAACCCATTTGAAGCAAGGCATGAAAATATGTGTAGCGATGAAGATGCCTTTCAAGGTGCACCGGTATGTAGAAGCATCCTCTGATATGGACCCCCTGGAGGGATATTGGTGTGTAAATTAAATTTAGAACTTACCCTTTGCTCTTGGGTGGCCACAAAGGTTTGGAATCCAGGGGCCACCCCGAACCCCAGCTCCTGGACGAAAGGCGGCTCAGACTGGCTGTGGATCTGGACTTTCACTCCAGCCTCGAACGTCGTCTCCTCTGGAAGAAGAAGGGGGGAGGTTAGCAGGCTGAGGTGGGTGGGATGGGGTTCACCGGCATGGGCAAGTTTGTCCCTCTCTGGAAAATTGTATCTGGTCAATCTGCTGCTCAAAAGCACAAGAGAAGCCATTGGGAGCGCTCCACCGGGATGATCAGACTTCTGGGCATCAAGGAAGGAAACCCAACAGCAGTGCTTGCTGTGAGCAGAGCACATCCGGAACTCAGCCCAAATCACCACTGCTTCCCATCGGGACCACGAGCATCTCTGGGCTCCTGGCCCTTACACTGCTGCCAACCCCAAGGGCTCACCCGCCCTGCAACACAGAGACGCGGGATTTCTCCAGCCCAGCTACAGCAAACAGGAGGTGTCATCTACTTTCGAGCTGCTATTTATTACAGAATTTTAAATGCATTCCCATATTACTAAAACAAACAAACTCTTCCTTCCCCCATCAGACACTTCTACTATCCATAAGGTCTCCAATGCCGAAAGCATGGGTGCACCCCGCACCGGCTGCCCCACCTCTGATGCAGCCTGAGGCCACCTGGGAGACAATGTAGGTTAATTAAAAATGAAAAAAAGTGTTTTAAATTCAAAGGAGCTCATGTTTTTGGCAGCTGAAGTTGCTCCAAGCCGGACGGAGATATTTTGCAGTGCATGGGCTCAGACACATGACTGAGTTACGGGTGATGCGAGGTTTCCACATCCCAAAGCTGTGCTGAATACCAAGTAACTCGAGGTCAGTCCCCCTCTTCCACTAGAAGTGAAAACCAACTCAAAAGAGACTTTCTGAAGCAGAATTAATGTGATGCAAATCAGACCCGAGTGTGATGTACGAGCACTTTGGGCTCCTCTATCACACAGGCATCTTCTCGCAGCTGGGGCGCGTAACCTTTCTCTCCTTAGCACTGCTGCTACGGTCTCACATCCCAGCAAACTAGAGGGAGCATATGGGACTAAGGGGCGGGGGGCTGATTTGCAAAGGAAGTTGTTAACTATGCAAAATTTGGCCTAAAAACGGAGTCACCCACTAATATGAATCCATGCCTGTGGCCAGCAACGCCTCCTCTCCATCTAAAGAGCTTCTGTTTAAAGAGGAGTACTCTTTATTTTCTTTGGTTACTATTTCTTGGTATTTTTATACTATTTCATGATACATTTCAATTTTTAACAGCACTGTATTCAGTCTGAAGCACTGGAAACTCAGCACCAAGGAATCACAGCCGCAGAGCTGCTTTGGCAGGGGCTGCACAATGACTTGCAGCAGGAGACAAGACACCAGGCCATGGGGTGATACGGGCAGAGGAGGAGGACAAGGGAAAAATAAGGTGACACTGGATGACATGAGGCATACAGATCTCAGGAACCCATTGCTTAAGAGGATGCAACTCTGCTGACTCAACTGGGCAGCAAAGGGATCAGCTTTCCTCTCCCAAGATGACTTTCTTGAACCCTGCTCTCTCAGGAGTTCCCAAGGCAAATGAAGCCAGAGACAGCACAGGTGGGAATGGGCTTATCCATGGATTTGTCAGGCTAAACGAGAGCATCCACAGCGCTCAGGTCTACCCCCTTTAGACCTAACTATCCTCCGAGGCTTCAACACTCAGTCATGTCCAAACCAACCAAGCGTTGGTCCGAGACCAGAGACCTCCAGAAACCCCCGGCCAGACATGCTGCAGTCACCTCCATCCCCCACTGAACAACAAATGCTCCCCACCACAACCCCACGAACCACATCCCGTTCAGCTTTTGGGAACAAACGACATTTGAAAAGCCCCACTCTGACGCTGAGGCTGCTTTACACACTGGCTACATGGAACGTCACGCCCTGCCCCTGCAGTGACGTGTCTACCAGCAGCACCTCCCCATCGCAAGCATTTTTTCTCAGCATCCTTTGCAGACCAAGAAGCTGGAGCAGGCTATCGACATTTAACCATTTAAAGCCTAGCTTTTTTATCTAAGGCACAGGAAAACAATTTGGAGGTAAGTAGGATTTATTAAAATGGTTTCTGGCCCTGGCCTTGCATACTTAAGTGAAATTCAGGGTGGAGGGACAAGTTCTGCACGTGCTTGGTTGGGGCTCAGCTCCAACCTGTTGGAGTTGGACTTTTAACCAGTCAGAGATGGATTGATTTGCAAGGCTCCCTCTTGATCACACACTCCCATAGACAGATGCCTCCGGTGCCCACACTAATCTGCCTGCCTGAGCATTGGCTCTGTGATGTTCCATGCTAAGTAACGATATAGTTTTGTCTCCTTGTGACCCAAGTGCTTTTGGTATCTAAATAATGTCATGATTTGGGGTATGCAGCATTGCTAATTGCACTGGGTGGCACGTGGTAGATGCAGATCTCATCCTCTGAGGTGTCTCTATGGACACCGGCATGGAGAGCATGAGTTTATTTTGGCTTTTCCTTATGCTGAAGCCTCCTGGAGCAAGACTGGCATTGATCATCCTTGCTCTTGGCCTCCACTTCTCCTCAACACCCAGCAACCGTGACTGGAATCACTCACCACCACCCCCCTGTGATGGGGGTTATGGTGAGGAATCCAACCCTTTTACTGGGACTCACCATGACAAAAACCTGCCTTGCCTTTGCCTTGCCCTAGTTAGGCTCCTCTCCCTCCAAGAGATGTCAGACAGTTGTTGACATGTCCAAGCTCTCTTACTGTCTGCTCCCTGCTAACACCTCTCCAGCACTGACCCTGCAAAACACTCCAGCGCTGAGAGCAGAACCACCTTTCCCAAAAACCTTTGGCAATGCACAACATCCCCATCCAACCTCATCGCTGCTCAACAGCACCGCAGCAGCCCTGGGCTCCGCAGCCGATTCTGCACCCGGATGCCCAAGCCCCATGGGCAAATGCACACCAGAACGAGTTCAACCCTCTCCAAGTACCCACCAACTCCTCCACTTTCAATCCCAATCCTGTTATCCCCCGTGACGCCCACTCCTACCGATCCCACTCAGCTCCATCGCTTTGCCTGGTGTTGATCCCCTTCCAACACTTCGAAGGAGACACCATATGCTTCCCGCAGTAATTACCTGACAAGCTGGAGGAGAAAGCTTCTATTTAGTCTAACTTGTTGGGCAACGGGAACTGTTTTGTTGAAACATTTTCCATCTGAAATTATTCTGCCCATTTCTGCACCCGCCCTGGGTCTGTTCAGCTCTGACTTAAGTCCACATATTTCCCACAACCAGGTGCTGTGCCCAGGTCCATCTGCACGTAAGCTCCTGACATCCGTACCAAGCAAACAAGATACAGCTTGCAAGTACCCGTAAGAGACTTTAAAAGCAACAGAGTTTGTAATTTGAAACAGAAAACCCTGGCATGTAGTCAGTGGTAATGATGGATGGGGAGGAGAAGGCATTCTCTGTGCCACAGCAGAAACTTTGGTTTTAAAACACACAGTTATTAATTTTCATCACCAATAATAAGAAGAGCAAAATAAACAGCATTTTTTTTAGAGGAGCTGCCAAAAGCCAGGCAGCATTCATTGTTTTTCCTGCAAGAAACACATGCGAGGATGAAACTATAAACATGAAACTAGCTTTGAAAAACTGTCACTTCTCCTAAAAATTCATTTGCTACAAAATAGCTGTTTTCTGCTAAAAGAGAAAAATTAAAAGCTCAGCTACAAAACCCTTTGATGGAATATGCCTGGACCAGCCCTCATTAGCTGCATCCTAAACGTTTCCAACCTCTGTGCTGGAGCTGAGAAGCATTTGTGTAGGTTAAGTATTTGCCGTAAGTGTAAGAAAAGGAAGGTCTCCTGGGACTTCGCTGGCAGCGGCTGCATTGAGATCGCTGAAATGAATGTCCATGGACAGAGCAAACCCAGAAAGGTCATGTGGCAAACCCTGGGTCTCGGGGGCTGTTACCCCAAGACTGGAGAGGTGCAACCAGGGGTGTGAGCATCCAGAGAGACACATCCCAGCCAGGGTTTTGCCATATTTTTGCAGTTTCAGCATCATTCTGAATGGCTTCTTTAGTGGTACCTCCTGGAGACATGAGGCTGAGTGCCAGTCCAGGTTGCTGCTGGTTTTTTATGCCTGTTTCTTGTAATCACCCATCAACGGGGAAAAAAACAACACTGAAAACCCTTCAATTGACTCAGATGCCAGAAAACCTTTAAAAATAAATTCTAGTGACTGGGGGGTTGGTTTGTACCTTACGGTTTTTAAACTGATTTTGCAGCGTTGCCCAACCACAGACCTTGATTCAATCTGCAATCCCACTTTTCAGAGGACAGTGCCTGTAAATTCATTCCTTAGTGCATCCCAGGCTGGGAATTGAGCAAAAACTCCTTGATGACTACATTTTAAATACAGCAATATACATTACTGTACACAGGACAGTGTTTCCAAACAAATCCTGAGCTGCTCTTTTCACTGAAGGATTAGAGTAGCGTTAATTAAATTGGGGATTAATTCAGCATGTGCTTCAAGTTGGCTGCAGAGCATTATATGTTGCGGATTGCAAAGCTTTCTATTTCTGGCTTCCATGACTTCGTCGGGGCTTTCTGCTTAGAGCATCACTTGAAAATCTTAATAAAGCTCCAGCTGACTATATGCTCGGGTGCAGGCTACAAAGTTCATCCCTGTGAATATGCAAGGAGCTGCAATTAAAATAAGAAATGCTGCCAAAGGCACCGAGCTACCCTTCTCCTCTGCCTTATTATGTCCAAACTGATCCACTTCTCTCTAGCAATTAACATCGGAAGCTGTGCTCGGCACTAATTTATTGGGAATTGACGATACAGCCCGAGCCACAGGTCGCTTCTAGCTGCAGCCATCACCTGTCAGCTCTGCCGGCAGCCCCGGCAGCTCCACAGAAGCCACTCCTGCTCGGAGAAAACCAAAACAGATCCCACATGGCTCAATCTGAGCAAAGGAGGTGGTATTTTCTTGGCTGGCTCACACTGTGACTGTAAGAAGGTGGCCTGAAGGTTTATTTTGGGTAACATGCCTTCTCTTATGCTGTGCAGAAGTAA